ACCGCACGGTGCTGATCCTATCAGGGACATCTAAGACACAAAATGCTACATTAGCGCAGAGATCCCACCAGACTCCACCACTGGACCCAGAAAGTAGCACGCATTCCCTCCTTCACGTGAAGCTCCTTTCTGGGTCCAGGGCTGCACCCTGAAGTGCAGCAGGCAGGGTGAAGGAGCTGAAGCCTGCCCCTGCCTCGTGCCTGTCAGGGAAAAAGATGCTGAAGCGTCTATGGTTGCCATGGGAGTAGGGATGGCGAGTGCGGAGAGCAGGAGTGACTAACAGCATAGGAAGTGCCTTCCTGCTCAGCTACTGCAAACTACAAGATTGTGAAAAAAACCTACATACAGACCTCCTGCACCCTGCATTTTGAGATAAATTGGTTTCATCTGCCACTGGTCTCAGTTTTTTTTCCAGTGTCTCCTAAGACCCTGAAGTGTACACAGTATGTATTCCTAACGCTGTGTTCCTTTTCTCTTCCACCAAGAGCAGGATTTTGTATGAATAGACACAAAACAGGTTGAAACTTGGGGCCTGTATTTACAGATTCTTGGTACTAATGCATGTTATGTTGTGATGGGACCACATACAACAGTTAATGTTGTGCCCAGCAGGATGCCAATCAAATTAGGTAACTGCTTGTATACCTATTTTCAAAGCAAACAGAAGGAAGCGCGCTGGCAAAGCTCACACGTACCTGTTGTGCGTCATGTCCTTGCCAAAGAGAATCCTAGCCAGTCCTTGCATTTCCACAAATAAAAGCTTTCAACAGGAAGAGGGGAGGGAGGGGGGATGAATGGATATAAATGGGCACTTACAGTTGTCAGAAAAGTCTAATAATTTACACTAGCTGAGATGCAGGGAAGAAATACAAATTAATAGCACCTCTTGGGATATCCAGGAATTAAAATATATTCATCCATTTTCATCAAGGCTTCCCTCTATTGGATGCTGTCTTTCTAATTCCATTCTCACACACAGAAACAATCCCAGTGAAGTCCAGGGAGTTACACTTTATTGCTATAAACAAGAGGATAATCAGACCCCTCTACAGTTCTCACCCAGTTCTCTGGCACTGTGTCTTTTTCGATCGTCAAGAGAGGTAAGTCTGTTTAATAGGTAAAATCTGGGAGAAGGAGAGGGAGACAATGGCCCAAGGGCAGCCGAAGCTGACAGAAAAATGTCACTAGGAGCTGAGCAAGCACACAGGAGGGGATATGAAGCACTGGAAAGATATTTTATATGACTTGTGGGCTTAGGAAAAATCCTCAATTACCTATTGACATTGATTCTATAATTAGAAATAAACCCTTTGGCTAGACAAAACTCAAGTTTTTCTCACTTGGGAAGTCATTCAATCTACTTCGTACATCCACTCCCACTTTGCAAACAAGCGTGGTACAACACCAAAAAACTGTCTCAAGACAGGGCACAGCATTCTCTGGTATTTCAAATTTACTTTTTATTAAAATATACTTTTCATCCCTACATGCTCCTGGGTGAGCCTTCTCACCAGAAAAATATTCCACACAATGCTGAGGAAGTCGGCTCTACTACAGCCCCTTGTAGCCCTGAAAAAAAACATTTTAAAACAGTGAAAGGGAGGTCACACTCCTGAGTGATCTCATCCATCCACGTTTAACCCAAGCATGGCACTCTGCTCGAGATATAGAGGACCCAGTCCTGTAAAGTCTTCCTATTTTGTGTATTTGCTTACTATCCTTAAGAGCCCATCAGTATAAGGGGGCTCTATGCCTCAGCCAGATGCGTGCTCTGGTTATAGTGTACAGGAGCAGGAAACACCTAAAGCCCTCCACAGGAGCAGGAGTACAGACACACAATGAAAGGAGAAAATTAACTTCTAGTCCTCTACAATAAACGTGCAGAATCACAATCAAAAGGCTTATGTATTGAATTAGCTGAAGAAACCCATAGCTCAAAGTCCAGACTCAAGACCTGGGTGTGAACCACAGTAAAAATCTGCCCATGACGTTCACGAGAAGATCATCTGATGACATATGATACTGAGAAAGAAAGCATTGCAGTCAAACAGATTGTATCACCTGTCCTGTGATCACAGTAAGTTTGTCCCCAACAGACTCAGAGAGACCAATAAATCCTGAAAAACAACAGAGACACCAGAAGAATGATACCACTCTCTTCCTAAAAGAAAATGCAAAACAGCTGCATCTAGTATTAATAAAATCTAATAACTTCCACAGGGAAAAGTACATACTAAATCAGCTAAAAGATACAACTATATGCTCAGGTTCAAGCACTCTAGGCTCTCAAAAGACTTCAGGCAATGTTAACTATGGAGTTTCAACCACAGCTGGCATCAGCCTTTACCTCAGGTGCTTTACTTAAAAGACTATGTCAACACACAGCAAGGACATAAAACCCAGAGGCCACACACGCTCTGTCAAACGAGAAGATGATTGGCAATACTGGAGCTCCAACAATTTCTTGCCTCCGACAGAAAGATGGCGGTAGGAAATGACCCTCCTCTTGCAGAGCTGCCACAGAGCCATGGTGAGGAGTGACAGATAGGGGATGGGATGGGGATGGGATAGACTACGGGTGTTGAATAGACAGATAGGAGAAAAGAGGGAAAATGAGACTTGAAGAAAAGAAGAGGATGAATGCAGCAGAAGGCTGAGTAAGAAAGTTAAGAGAACTGAAGAGTGAGGTGAACAGACAGGCTATACTGAGCAGATTTTAATCAGGACAATAGAAAACCGATATTGAACAATACATTCCCCTTGGAAATGTAGCTTTCCAAGTTAATTGTGTTAAAGGTCATGGGACCATGGAGTGTAACGTTTTCCAGCAATCTTCATGGTGCCACGGGGTGACAAAAAGAATAGTATGAAAATATAAATTTTGACATTTATCTTTCACTCACTGTATTGACAAGTAGATTACATTAGGCAATAGGGAAGATGCTGAAGCTACTCTAGACTAGAATAATATTCTGTTCTCATTTGCACAGATACAAAACAGGAGAGAAATTAGATAAAGAGATAGGATAGTAAGGGTATCCATTTCCATATGTGCTTATTTGTGTGTAATATATGCCATGTCCTTCTCCCCCAGTTTGCTATTTTTAGTTTGAACTGAGCATAGTCTCTCACCTAGAACCTCACTGAATCATATTTTCTTGTGCCTCCAGAGACAAATACATCCAAATATGTATTAGAACATCGCTTCTTTCCACCAGCTCCGGAGAACAGTACGAAAATCAATGATCAGTTAACATGTGAATCCCATAGTTAAGAGAACTGTGCAGAGAAACATCAAGCTCATGACTGGTTTTGGTCTCTGTTTCAGTGAGTTTGTCAGCAGCAGAATCTCGTAACTCAAGCCAGTGATTCTCACCCAGCTGGAATTGGCCATTATGTTCAAATGCGCTTATCTGGACACTGAGTAAGTGTTTGTTTTCTGGAATAACCACTTACGGAGCATCCAGATTAGAAAGTACAAACATACTGGATAAATTGAATTAAAGGCAGACAGTCACCCCATATTAAACACCCAAGTGAAGATATTTCCAAATACAGCAGCAGCAACTGAGTATCACATAAATGGGGTAGCCTTGTGTTTAAAACATAGGCCTGCAAGCTATTAGATCTTAGCTTCCCCTCCTACTTCTGCTGCTTGTCTTTTCCTCTTGATCTTGAGTAAATTATTTATTGTCAAGACTTACATTTCCCCAGATTCAAAAGAGGAAATTAGACTCTCTGGCTTTAAAGAGCAATGTTGCAATAATTAATTCATTATTCTTTGCAGAGCACTCAAAAGTTATTAGATGCTGCTGCAGAAATGCATTTTCTTAGTGGTATTATGTTCCACTAGCAATTTCCAAAATAACTATCTTGTATGGATTTAAGGTATTTTAAATTAAAGTCCGTGGTACCTTGAGTCTTGAACCAGTACCTTGTCATGGCAGTGTAAAATGAAGGGAGGAAAATAATCCACTTGTGGTCATAACACAGTTTCTCTTTGCACTGTTCTACTCACACAGAATTCACACACAGAATTGTTAGGGTTGGAAGGGACCTCTGGAGATCATCTAGTCCAACCTCCCTGCCAGAGCAGGGTCACCTACAGCACGTTACACAGGACAGCGTCCAGGCGGGTTTTGAATGTCTCCAGAGTGGGACACTCCACAACCTCTCTGGGCAGCCTGTTCCAGTGCTCCACTACCCTCAAAGTAAAGAAGTTCCTTCTCATGTTAAGATGGAACTTCCTATGTTCAAGTTTATTACACACACATTAACTGTAATGACAGCAAGCATGCAGAAGGAAAGACTGTTCCAGTAAGTTCAACAGTGACTAGCAAACAGCCATTGTAAATTCTGCAATGAAACCTATGGGCTAGCTCAAGCCTGGCTATAAATGATGATGTGGCCAATATCATACGCTTTACTAGAAAAAATGTAAAGGAGAATTTTTTAACTGTCTTTTTCAAAGCTCACCAAGTTTTGGACTCAGTGGTTAGAAAAATGGCTTTCTTAAATTATGTTGTTTGCATATGGCTGAGAGGTCTCCCTGACACTCAATCAACTGGATCCATTTGCTCATGTGAAGGCAAACATGCTTGAACTGCAAGTCACTTGAACTGCTTTTGCTGCAAGTGCAGACTGGACAGCTGTATACAGAAACAGATGTTTACTAGTCCAGGTTGTATTTCTGTTCAGATGCATTTTCAAGGCAGCTGTATCAACAAATTAGGGGTACAATTACAGATTCCTGTCTCAAACAACTAACTGTGTAAGACACCATGTGAATTGGGGTGAAAAGTGATGACAGGTAACTTGGTACATAATCATATTTGCCTAATGAGAATGACAGTAGGAATTGAATTTTCATTATCTGTGGGAACACCAGTTTTGAGGAAAACTGTTCTTACAAAGTGACCATTTTATTTAACGACTTTCCAAGAGGTGTATTCTATAGCGTATTGATGCAATACAATTAATACGTCTAAAAGCCCCATTACCTGTTGGTCATCTGGAGTCCATATGCCACAGGTGATCTGACTCTCCAAGTTTATTTCTGAAGACCAGTGTCTTTGTCCGCTGACTGAACCGACCAGCACAAATCCATCTCTATAGGAGATAAGTGCTTGAGTCCCATCATGGCTCCAAGTAAAGTCGCTTACCTTAACATATCAAAGACAAAAAAAATAGATATATGGGACATGTAGGAATTTTTTGTTGTTTTAATAAAAGGTAGCACTGCACACAACTAGACAGGGCAACTATTAGGTCAGTTGTAGCTCTGTTGTCATGGCTATTGGATAAAGAAATGGATAAACAAACTGTCTTTGTGACAATGCTTACATATTCCTTCCAATAAAGAAATGTTTCATTTTCTCTTGTGCTTTTCCAAAGGTATAAAGCACCATTCATTGTCCTCTTCGTTTTGCCTCTGAGGACTTGATCACTCTTGACTGCAGAGAAAACATGCATACCAACCTGTGCCCCCCGATCATTCACAAGCTCCACAGACCATCTGCCTTCGTATTGTATCCAAACAAATATTCCTCCATCTGCATCACAGGTTGCTAATTTCTGGAACGGTTCGTTCCATCTCACCAGCACAACCTTAAAGGATTACAAACAAAAACAGCATTACCAAAACTGCATGTTGTGCTAACAACTATTTAACAAGAAACAGTTAAACAATACTGCAAAATAAACATCACCTCATTTAAATCGTAAAGAAGATGTACAAAACAGTAATTTTCAGCAGAGCATTAGACGCCTCTCAAGAACAGCTGGAATCATTTCGTAATGGCTGTCAGGAAATGCACAATCTCTCACTGTCAGGCCTTTTTGGAAGGCATCGCATGCTTTCAACATAAACATACTGTATGCTGGATTTCATTACAGAAGCAGCAAACAGGAGGCCCCGCACAGACCACCCGATACTCTTCCAAATGATTTCCCCTACCGTAATCTCAGACTATCAGACTCTACGTCACATCATCACCTCTTGCTGACTTCAAATGAAATTGCATACACTGGTATCAGATCAAATTTGAATACTCTATCAACAGTGACATGAAAAAAAAAAAAGAGAGTCCCATATTATTAAAAAATAGAAATTTCATAGAAAAGTTGCTTTGCTACTGAGTGCAAAGCAATATGAAACAGTTTTAGGCTCTTCTCTCTGCATTAGAGCTATGTGGGCTTTTCTGGAGAATATAATCAAGTCTAAACCTAAAAAACTGCTCTCTCATTTCTAATTAATGTCAATTTAGCAAATACAGTATCTCTTGAGACCTCAGTATAGAGCTGGAAAAAGCATGTCATCCTAGTGCTTGAAGCAGAAATTAGCTGTAGAACCATTCACCTTCTGTTAGTGACTTTTTAATAAAAACTTTTTTCTGTATTAGTGTTATTTCAAAACCTTGCAGATATATATAGGATGCTTACATTCACACACGAGATTCCCCCCAGATGCTTTATAGAGACACAGCATGTGCAAAGAAAGAATGCATATATTAAACAGTCAAGCAGTGGGGTCCAGCTTTAATGATACTCTTTCACAAATCTAAATAGATAATTAACCATTTCAAAGAGACAGAAAGAGAAGATTTTCCCAGAATATATTTTGCTGATTACAGAGATGGACCGATGCTCCTGAAGATTCCAGTCCTAAAATGAGCTCTAAGTAGACAGACACTCTAAGCAGACCCATGACACTTCATAACAAAATCAGCAGTCATTTTCAGAATTAGGATATAAATACGCATATCTGAAACCTAAACTTGACAGCGGAAAAAAGATGTTCTTATACTTATTTAGCGAGCACTACACTTATTCACAAAGTGTCAAGGGTCAGAACTTCAGAACATGTGCTCGTGGAGCTCAGCAGCCTGAAGCATCAACCCTTGCACGACTAAACAGCTAAAAGAAAACTGTTTCTTCATCCATATGTGAAGATTATGGGAAAAGTGAGTATGACAAACCACCTCTCTGTTGTTAAGCAGCTAAGCAGAATCCCATTTGAGATTCTGCAGAAAAAAACCTTGCTTCTGCTTGATTATAACCTTGCAGCTGCACTCCGACTCGCAAGACTTGTCTCCAGTTAGGTGGATTATATCACAGCACTAGATGGATTATACCAAACATGGCTTTTTTTTTTCTTTTTTTGAAGAGCAATAAATAAAGTATTCCAACATAGTAACACAAGCAGCTGTACTTTGGTAGAGGTCTCACTCTGTCCCTTCCATCTAAACAAGAGCACAGATTTGTCAAAATTTTGTTTTCTCTTTGGCGTAACTCCCATGCAGAGAGCAGTCATTTCATCCACCCTGAGGCAAAAACATGCCAGTAATGCCTAACAGTATTACAAAAGAAGTGAAGAAACCCCCATATGTAACACAAGCATAATACTGAAAAACCTTCATCTTTGAAGACTGGGAGCTGCTAAGGCTAACAATGACTACCAATAGAGTGGAAGGTACTAACAACAGCACTGAAAATCAGCTATTTAATGCTTAGACACTGCCCATGTTGGGCATTTCATAGCTCACACAGAATAAACTGCTTCAGAAAATCTAGGAACAAAAGATAAAACTAATAGTTCCAATAACGTGTTTTTTAACTAACACCATCAAAGGTGCCGCTATCTGTCTTAAAATTGCCCTGGCAAAGATTTGAGATGAGCATATAATTTTATAGATTAGACATACCGGCTGACTTCATGATACGAATTATGGGAAAGTGACAACAATTACCTTGATGTAGTCTGTCTCTTTTCTGTTTTAAATAGGAATCCTGCTAAAACTTGAAGATACCTTTTGATTCAAATTCTGTATAACCTGTCTTTTGTTTGGATTTGATAAAACATCTAAGAATATATTTGAATGTCAACAAGACCAACCAGAACCTCCTTCGCTCCCTCTACCCCAATTAGGTACAAATTAGTAACTTCCAAAATAAACTTACTGCTTTATAGTCACAAATGAATGTGAGACACTGATTTTATATGCCTTCTGATAGCATGCTCATAAGGAAGCAAATTTGTAATTTGAAAATTCAACGCCTTTAAACACAGAACGAATGTTATCATTTTATGAGGTCATTTTAAAGATGCTTCCATCATTTACATTTAACATCCGACTACAGGTGCTGAGTCCACAGCAATTTCATTTTATTTTATTTTTCATGACATACTGCAGCATAGATAAAGAAAGGAAGAAGGACTGCTCTAAGTATTAAGATGACTTTTGGCTTTTATGTTGGCTAAAATGTAAAGCACATGAAAACATGCCCCATTGATAGCGCACTTAAATAACACATAGGCTTGAATTATCCCTTTGCAAAGAGGAATTTTATTGCTAACCCATAAATGCAAAGATATCATTACTTTCACTAACAGCTTCAACTCAGAGGGGACCCATTTTTACTTCTGCCTTTATAGTTCTCTGATTCCTACTTAGCATCTTCACACAGGTACTGCAGGACTAAAACGTTTTATCTTGTATTGAAAGAACAAAAATGTTGGTGTGCCAAAGTCTGTAGACTATTTGTGGTCCACACAGTCTCTTTATGTTGCCTAATTATTTATGTCTGTCTGTTGTTTGGTTTTGAGTTTGGTTTTGTTTTAAATACCTATAAAAATTGCAAATTGTGCTTGTTCTACTCTAGAAAAGTTCTGCATCACAGACATTAATCAGCTTCTAAACTGCTACCTTGTATAGGAAATTATCTCCCATGAATAAAACTTCAAGGAACTCCTGGCCTAAATATATTAACTACAATGTAAAGGCCAATATATCGCCCCCAAACAGGATGGCTTCCACGAAGTTTAATGAGCTTATGAATCAGGGTCTTACGTTTTCTTTGAGCTCCTTTTTATACAATGCACAGTGGTGAATAATTTGTTTCAAAAGTGGAAGATTCAGGATCTCAATAGCTCTATCTTAATTGTCAACTTGATGTTCAAGAATTTAATTTCATTAGTACTAAAGGTGCTAGAAACTCTCCCCAGGAACCGCCTGCATATTATAATGCTGCAAACACAGCAGTATCAGCAAAAAGTAAAACGTTTTAAAATTATTTTCATCACAAATTAAGGATATGTGAGGATTTGTTACCCTCAACTTTATGAAACTTGTTTATGTATAAAATTAAAAGGGAAAATACTGTTAACTTACACCCATGCATTCACTTCCAGTACTACAGACTAATCAAGAATGAAACAATTGATAACACTTCTCAATTAAAAATGTTATGCAAACATAAATTATAGTTTATGAACCTCAGTTACTTCACCATACTTCTTATCTTCACAGATGCTCCATTTGGAAAAGGCCTTGTATTATGGCAAAGGAAACATCTGTATTATTCTAATTGAAAAAACCAACAGACAATAATTTATTTATTTTTTTAAGATCACTTAATTGTGCTTCAAAATTTCCATTTTCATTCACTCTAATGCTTTTTGGACCACCACTGCAAGTAGTAAAACAAAGTCCAATCAGTCTCTGGCCCAGAAGAGCATGATGTTTATTAGAAAAACACTGCCACAGAAAGACCATCATGCAGCTAGCAATGTTATTAGATATTAAAATCTTAGACAAGAAATTTTGAGTAACTGCAATTTTTGGAGTAGCAAATATATGATTTATAGTAAATGTGATCTCCCCCCAACAGAAGCCAGGTTTAGTGATTTAAATTCAATACGTGCTATTGAAAACTTTTACTAATTTTTTCACATTTTCTAACATGATACAAGATCGCTAAAATCCAAAGCATTCTGAGAGCTTTTGTTATTCCTAATTTCATTACGGTTTTTGAAGATGACTGAAAATATGATACAAATCAATCTTCCAAGAGCAGAAGTCCTTCATCTAGAATACCATACAACAGTCATTACTGAAATCTTATCTCTGTAGTCCCTAAAACATACAGTACATAATTGCTATAGAGGCAAGGGACCAACGTCTAGAAAAAAATTAACGGGTAAATAACAAGGGCCATTACTTCCCTTACCAAATTTAAATAGATTTTATTACTGAGAGGAAACTGCACTACACTGTAGTGAGTCACAGTGAGTCATTTTCTTTGAGCTCTGATCCTCCATCCGTTTTACTGGGGAGCAGGCATATGCTCTAAAGATAGAGGTCTTCTTCAGCATGGGATGGAATACCTGCCTCCCCTGTCAGTTCCTTGGGGAAATTAACCCCATCCCTGCCAGAACCAGGACATTTACCTATAACCAACGCTTGGTTCTAAATGGCTCTGTGTATGTTTAGTTCAATGAAACGTAAAGTTTAACTATTTTTTAAATATTAGTATTTTTAAAATAAAGGCTATTCAAGTTTCTCTCTCCTAATTTCACATGCTGAAAACAGACTGCTTGCAATTGTTCTTACTTTCATCTTCACTTATGACCTTCATTTCTGGCCATGACAATAATGCCATGATAATTCTCTCCATTCAAACTAATTCAATTACGCACCCAAACAGCATCATGTAAGTATTCTTCCTACTAACAACACTAGACAAAAAAAATCAGCAGACATGGTAGACAGTTAGTTTGCCTCTCCTGGGGTGGCACACCCATCTTCCTATCCTACTTGTCTTACATT